GAATGGATGCAGACTCGGCATCAGAGCGTTTCTGCTTCCAAGTATGACATGGAAATACTTGTCCAAAGTGCACAAGCTTCAGAGCAGAAATTGGAGCTGTCGTGGGAACCCCACGAGCAACTGCTTTCGCCATATTCCATGAATTCTTCAGGAGGCTCTGGAGTCTTGCTACTGCTTCGCAACATTGCCTTTGTCATCATGGCACTGTCAGCAGCCATCACCTTTGCGAACGATTCCTTCTTGAAGATGAGGAAGACTTGCCTCATCAAGCAGCGTTCCTCTATCTTGCCATATCACAAGGAGCATGCCTACTGAGTGTGACTTTGACTCAAAGTGCACTCACCTGACTCAAAAAAGGAAGAGGACACATCTGCGCATATGGCTCTTCGATACAACAAAGTGAAGTCAAGTTGTTAGGGACTGTACTACACGGTAAATTGTAAGTCTATACAAGTGTTGCTTTTGATTTGATCAATGTTGAAGACTGTATATACACTGTACATTAGGGCTTTCCATTCTTCAGTGCAGGCGCTGACAGCTGCCATGACCCAGACAAAGAAGCTGGAGGGCGGATGTGTGGTTGAAGACGACGAGACTGAGCACACACTGGAGGCAGAAGGGTTCCTTGAAACTGCTTGGATGGATGTCCAACTGTGTTCACAGCCAAATCATTGTGATTGGCCATACACAGCTACGAGTTCGGTTGTGCCCCGTTTGGCTTGCATATGCATGCATTTTTCCGGACGAGACTGCTCGGAGAGGTGCCTTGGAGAGGTCAACCGTTGCGCCGGGAGGTCAGTGACTTCTTGCGTTTTGCACGAAGCATGTTTGAGACTCCCTCATGCTGTTCCAAAGCATAATAACTAATGTTGACCAGTAAAGTCAAGACACCTCTTGGGCAGAGTCATTTTTGGATGAAAGCCCAGAATTACTGATGTAATTTTACATGATAGTACATGTATCATGTCCTTAAACTGGCAAGGCCATCAGCAGGCAATTCTGTTGGCGAAAAAAGAATTGGGCTCTCCAAACCGTCCGAGCCCACCTGGCTGCTGGTGCGGCCTGGCAAACTTCCAACTTCCAGCTGATTTCCTCCACGTTTCGAAGCTGCGTCCAACTGAAACAGAGAACTGCTCAAGCCAACGTGTCGCCAAACAGAACGCCTACAGCAACAGCTGCAGCCGCTGCAGCAGCTGCAGCGGAGAATCTGAATGCACATCGTGGGAAGGCCACAATAACTCAGCCGAAGCCCACTGGGATGAATTGAACGAATTCAGTGGCAATATGCAAGGCAATCTCATTTGAGGCCCAATAAGTTATTGAATGTTGCTCAGCCTGCTATCTAGACTTTCACTCATGACGTGTCATGACAGATTTTGGTCCTGGTGCTTGTAGGCTCGAGGGGTAGGTGAAGTTGTTTTATGAGAGGATGGAAGGGAGTGCGTGCACTCCCGACCCGGAAGTGAGCGCCAAAATGCTCAATGTCCTCTCAGAGGTAGGCCTAGTTGGGGCGCGGTTGGCAGTAAGCCATGGCTCGGAAGCCTCCCTGGCTAGGCAGCTTGCAGAGCGGCTAGGTTTGGAGGCTATGCCCTGGCATGTCACCTTTGTACGAGGCCTGGTGAGGGAAGCTGTGCAAATGGCAGATTTAGACAATCGCATCGTGGGCACAGCGTCAACGAGGTCGATACAAAACTTGGTAGATGCCAGGGCTGTCATGGAGAAGGAGAAGAAACCCCTCGAGCCCCCGGGCGAGACGATGGTACTTCCTGCCGTGCCTAAGCGGGGGACGCTTGGGAGGACAGTGCGGTTGAGAAGCGGCAGGATTGCGACGGAGGGTGAGGTCTGTGACCGAGTGCTGGACAAGCTTGTTGATGAGTTGAAGATCTTTGGAGCACCGGTTTTGGAGGAGGTCGTGAAGGCCATGAACCCGGAGAGGGCCAAGGAGGCGCTTCTGGGGAAGTACCGCATGTCCACCATCCGGCGGTATTTGGCATCTTGGCAGCGTTTCAGGACTTGGGCAGCATCTATGGGACGCCCTGGGCAGAGGCCAACCTCGGTGATGCTCGTGGACTACATGTACGCTCGTGAGGAAGAGGGGATGGGACCCTCGATACCCCTGGCTGTGAGTACAGCGGTGGCATGGTTCGAGCGGACTGCAGGAGTGCGGGAGGAAGATCAGCTGATGGCCCAGGCTTTTCCCCAGATGGTGATGAAGGAGTTGACCAGGAGACTGGAGCAGAACGCTCCACCCGTTCGGCGGGCGCCCCGCTGGCTTGGGTGCTTTGTGGCGCCGATGGAAACCCTGGTTGTTGACGGAGCGGTTCCATTTGAGGTCCGGGTCTGTGCATGGTTCAAGCTGGTGAAATTATGGACCTCGATGAGGTTCGATGATGCAGCGCATCTCAAGACGTCAGAGTTGCGGTTCTATGATGGTCAGTTGCTTGGGATGATTCATCAATCCAAGACATCAGGAGCTGGCAAGCGAGTGCGTGAGTTGCCCCTTTACGTTGCAAGGGACGCCTTCGTGGTACATGATGACTGGTTGGCGGTGGGGTTCGACCTGGTGAAGCTCAGGATGCCGCGTGACAGGACGTATATCTTCCCAGAGGGCTGTTTCTATGGGTCAAGGTACGGGACATCGCATGTCACGTATGCAGAAGCAGTGGCGGGGAGTGCAAGGACGCTGGCACTTCTAGAGGGCTACAATGGCAGGTTGATTCCCTCCGGATGGGAGAGATTCTGGTCGGAGCATAGCGAGAGGGCAACGGTTCCAAGTGGCTTGGCAGCTCTTGGAGTGGAGAAGGCAGACCGGGACTACTTGGGGAGGTGGTGCCCAGAAGGATCTGATGTCTATGTGCGGACCTATAACTCCATCGTGAAGAAGATGCAGAAGAAGATGGTCGGGATCCTGAGGGGTGAGACGGCTTATGAAGACCTGGATGAAGGGTCTATCATGGAAGAGCTCAAGGTATGGCTGGTGGAGAAGTGGACTGTTCCTGAGGATCAGGCAGAGAGTGTTGTTGAGGCCTGGAAGGAGAAGATCGGCGTCAGGGGCAGACCTCAAGCTGTCATACCGTTATCCGAGGACGACACGACCATCTATGATGACTCGCAAAGTGAGAAAGATGGGAAAGGTGCGGCCCCGAAGGATGCAAAGAAGAGGAAGGTGAATGAACCTTTGGAAGAAGAGAGAGAGGGCAACTATGTGGTGGTCTATCGAAGAGCGGGCCGGGGGACGCTGCATAGGTTGGGCGACAAGGGCTGCTGGATGGCGAAGAAGCGCTTCTTCGTGAGATCCGAAGTCCATAAGGAGTTGCCGGAGCCCGAAGAGTACACGCTCCGATGCAAATTGTGTTGGAGCGGTGGGGGCGGGCACTTGAGTGAGTCCACAAGTGACTCTCATGACGAACTGAGTCTCAGCGACTAAAACGGCTGCTGGGAGAGGGGAGAGTCGATCGGGGCGGAACACCCATATCCCCCTTGGTCGCACCAAGGGGGACGGTCAGCGTGTGTGCATGCATGGTCCTGCAGAGAGCCACAGGTCGCACCTGTGGGAGGGGTAGGATATGCAGGAATCCCGGGCCGAGCGAGCCGCTCAGGCCTTGGGGCGGGGCGCCGCATGCGCAGCAGAGCAACCCGATGCGGAGGAGGCGGGGTCGCACCTCACGGCACGCAGGGGGTTGCTTTCACATAGCATGTGAACGGAGTTTGTGCATAGCGTGCACTTGTGACACAGCAGTGTCAGCGCGGCATCGCATGCTGCATATCTGGCCGGTGTGACCAGAGAGGGGATGGGCTCAAGACCGGGGGGGCAGCCATGCCTAGGATTGTGCTCACGGAGGAGGAAGGCAACAAGGCATTAGATGCCGCTGGCACCGACCTCAAGTACTTGTTTTCGAGACATGAGGTGAGCGTCGACAATCAGAAACTATTCTATCATCATGGAGCGACAACATTGGAGAAGCTGTCGAACTTTGCAAAGGACAGGGAAGATCTTACAGCTGTTCTCAAGCAACGCTGGGAGTTGGATTCGGAGAGGACATTGGACGAGAGAGTCCAGATTGCAGCAATAGTGTGTGCTTTTGGCAATGCAAAGACCCGAAGCCAGAGAGCAGCAGAGGTTGATGCGGAGTACGATTCTCTGCAGTGGTCACGTCCAGTGGTGGCAGGAGAATGGGCGGCAATGAGGTCGGCCTTAGAGAAGCGCTACGGCTACCTCGAAGACAAGATTTACCCTGCGAAAGAATATGTTGAGAAGAAATTAGCAGAGGTCGAAAGCGGTGAATACCGTGCTGAGGAGCTCACTGAGATTGTGTCGAAGGAGGAAAGCGAGCCGGAGACTGTGGTGCCTATTTGGGACTCTAAGGGCCGTCTGGCCATGAAGAAAGGCTCGACGAAAGTCCAAGAACCGGCGAACGCCGAAGAACTTCGGAAAAGATTGACAGTATGGAAGAACGCCATGGTCATGATCTCACTGGAGCATTCCAATCGGCACGAACTTCAGGGCGCATGGGAGGAAACAGTTGAGCAGTACAAAGACTACCTCTTGGGCGACTATGTCTATGGGCTCAGTGCAAAGGATGCAGAAGGTCAGACATTCGCAGCACCGCCTTGGAAGTTGGTCATTGCCTATGAGAAGGCTATTCGGAAGCAAGCAGTGAAGATCACGAACACGGAGGGTAAGCCTCTCACTGTGGCTTTGAAGACGGCCTGGAAGGATGCAACAGTCAAGGAGCGCAACTTTACTACGCCACTTGCCTTGTATGCCAAAAGACCCCCTCCACCCTGGAGGGAGCAGCCGGCAGCGAAGTGGAGGACCCCTGAGAAGGGGGATAAGGGCAAGGAAAAGGGCAAAGGAAAGAAGGGCAAGGGCAAGGGCGGCCAGCATTGCGCAACACATACACCAGATGGAGAGTTGATCTGTTTCCGTTACAATACACCTGGTGAAAAATGCAAACTCAGCAAATGCAAATATCGACATGTGTGCGGAATTTGCTTTAGCGACAAACACCCGCTCTACGAGTGCAATCCGAAGAACCGCAAGGAGGACAGGCCCCCGGACACGGATGGGACAAAATGAAGGACCCTCAAGGTCCTTTATGTCTTCTCAGGGAGGAAGAGGCGCACCTCAGTCGCAGGGTTCCTGAGAAGGCTAGCACCACGAATGGGTGTCCGCTTGGAAATTACAGAGTTGGATATCCAGTCAGACAGGAAGTCAGATTTTACAATTCCAGCAGTCCAGAAGGAGTGGTTGCAGAGGATTGCTCAAGGCATCTTCTTCGCAGTCATCGTCACACCACCTTGTTCGACCTTCTCACGAGCTGTATGGGCGAATGATCAGGGTCCGTACCCTTTGAGGAGCTCTACATTTCCGAGAGGGTTCCCATGGAACAAGGGAGACAGGTTTCACAAAGCAGAATTTGGTACAGTCCTGGCCGATTTTCCCTTTGAGGCCTTGAGGAGACAGTTTGCACGCCGACGTCGTGCAGGTCTGATGGAGCAGCCGGAGGACCTGGGACGTAGTTCATATGACCGGGTACCAGGCCATCAACCAGCTTCAATGTGGCAGTTTCATCAATTTGAGCAGTTGCTTGCAATGGAGGGTGTACAAACCGTGGTCTTTGCACAACAAGACTTTGGCACAGCGTCGCCAAAACCGACAAGGTTCTTGATGAGATTGTTTGCACCTCTCCATCCCTCTATGTATGAAGGTGTGCCGCAGTTTGATGACCAAGGCTGGTATTTGGGCCCTCTACCCCGTCGTTTCGGGGGGTGCTTCCCTGATCGGCAAACAGCATGGGATCTATAAGACAGCGCAATCAGCAGCTTGGCCACCAGCACTTTGCAGGTGGACGGCGGAAGCCTTACTCACCTCCTTTGTCAAAGAGTGGTCAGGGGGGGGTGAGGCACTTTTGGATGGCAACGGCAGCAGGAAGAGAAGGGCAGAAGAGGATCTTGGCCCCCCGAAGAAGGTGCGAAGAGAAGAGGTTGAGGTTGACCCCATGAACCCTCCTTTTGCTGGGGGAGACGGACCACCGCGGGCATGCAGATGGAAAGGGCTGGATACCCCCTTTCATGATGGCGGAGGGCTGGCGTCACCTGGAAGGTGGCATCCGAGCAAGAGGAGGAGGCCGGAGGGTGAAGAGTGGTCTTCGTTGGGGCATGGCATCCTGCTGGAAGCTGTCAGGGTGCTAGGAAGTGTCAACGAAGTGGAAAAGGAGGCATTTAGGATGGCAAGAGGAGGCGACAGCTTTCGGCTTGTGAGAGATGAGGCATTCCTGGCGAGGGTCAGGGGTGCGTTGGCTACTAGACTGAATCTGGTGGTGCAGCTTGAGCCGGAGCCGGGGCAGCCCTTCTTCCTGGACCTCCTGAAGGGGGTGTTGCAACGTGCGGGTGACCCAGACTATGACTTCCTTGAGCAGGCGAAGACGGGGCTGCCATTGGGGGTTTTGAACAAGTTGCCTCGCACACCAGAGATTTTTGAGGAACAGCAGAAGTGGAACCTGGAGGGGGAAGACTGGGGCCTGGCAGTCTGGCAGAAGAGCAATTACATCTCGGCGGAAGAGCATGAGAGATTTTTGGTGGAGCATCTTGAACAGGAGGTTGCAGAGGGTCTCATGGTCAAGATGTCGGAGGAGGACTTCATACGAAAGTTCGGAGATAACCGGGCTGTAGCGGCCCTAGCGGTCTTGGTGGAGGATGAGATCACAGGGAAGAGAAGGGTCATTCACGATGGGACCCATGGAGTTATGGTGAACCACAAGATTAGACGTCAGGACAAGGTCCGCATGCCTGGGCCGAGAGAGAAGAGGGCTCTTCTGGAAGGTTATGAGGAGGAGCGTGCAGTGGTGCTGTCGCTGGTAGGGGACTTCGCGAAGGCTCATAGGCGCTTCAAGTACATGGAAGAGGAGCAGGGCTTCTTGGCGTGCAAGGCCTCCACACATTCCAAGGTTGTGTATGTGAACCAGGTTGGCACCTTTGGGATTGCTTCGACCCCGTACTGGTGGGCTCGGTTGAGCGCAGCCTTGATGAGGGCTGTGTACTGGATCCTGGGGGAGGCTTTCCCGAATGACATGTTGCTCTATGCGGACGACTTGGAGGTGTTGGCAGTTGGGCGAGTTGGGAGGATTGGTGGTGTCCTTGCATACGCCACGATGGCGGCTTTTGGGGCGCCCTTCAAGTGGGCAAAACAGAGAGGGGGCCTGGTCACAGAGTGGATTGGGCTGACAACAGATTATAGTGCCTATGCCATGGGGCTTTCACAGAGGCGCACAGAGTGGCTAGTTGGCTGGATTGCCTCCCTTCGTGAGAGAAAGGAGGTCTCCAGCCGGGAGTTCTCAGCCGGGCTAGGACGGCTGGGTTTTTCGGCATTGGCACTCCCCTGGGAGAAACCGCTGCTGGGCCCCTTGTACGCCTGGGCGGCAGCAATCCAATCGAACAGGGGGACTATGACGATACCTTGGGCAATACAGTTCATTCTGGATTGGATCTCACAAAGGTTGCAGTCAGGTGGACGGTTGGAGGAGGTTCGAAAGCCCAAGGAGACAGGAAGAGCTCCTGTGAGGATATGGACAGACGCCAAGGCGACCGAGCAAGAGGCGTGGATAGGAGGATGGCTGGAGGAGAGTTCTTGTAGCAGAGAGTGCAGGTGGTTCTCCCTGAAGGTCACTGAGGTCAGCGCACCCTGGCTGTATTACCGGGGGCGGAATCCAAAACGTGTCATAGCTGCACTGGAACTTCTAGCCACGTTGGTTGCGTTGAAGCTTTGGTTGAGAGAGGCCGGAGATTCTGCAGAAGTCCTTGCCGAAGCCTTCACTGACAATCGGGGGAATTCTTTTATTCTCAAGAAAGGATTGTCAACCAAATATCCCATCACTTTGTTGGTGATAGAGGTTGCAGAGACATTGAGGAGGTTGGACGCATATGCATCATTGACCTGGGTGCGCAGAGACGGCAATGTTCTGGCTGATGCCCTGACCAATGAGGATTACAGTGCATTCGATCCAAGTCGGAGAGAAACTGTCGTAGAAGGAGAGCTTCGATGGTATGTGATGGGAAGCCTCATTCAGAGGAGGGAACAGCTTTTCGACGAGATCAAGAGGCACAAGGAGATGAAGAGAGAGGCCAAGACAGCAACCGGGCAGTCCAAAAGGAAGGCGAAGAAATTCTTCGACAAGTGGAAATCCTGACTGGACTAGGGAAGTACCTATGCCAGGGAAGCTCTCTGGCATAGGCGGCAGGATT